GCAAAGTTGCCTAGTGAGGAATATAGATGTATGATCCTGTTACCTAGGAGGGAGCAAAGTGATGGAACAATAATCCAGCATTCCACAGAACTTAAGCTGGATTTAGTTTTGATTTAGAGAGATAATGAAATCCTACATTATTTCGTGGAGTAGTTCCTGCCTGTTACAGAGATAAAATCTGCCTTCAGGGACCACAGAGTTTGCTCTGTGAATATTTAAATTTTTAGTTTTTATTTTAGTGAAAATCTTAAAAACGCCTTTTAACAAGAACATACTCTGGTAGGTCTAGATGACTGTGATGGCTGCCTTACAATTTTCAAAGCCCAGTGATCACCTAGAGTGCCAGCATTTAACTTTTTTTTTTAAAGGTTGGCACCTGAGCTAACAACTGTTGCCAATCTTCTTTTTTTTCCTTCTCCCCAAAGTCCCCCAGTACAAAGTTGTGTATTCTAGTTGTGAGTGCTTCTGGTTGTGCTATGTGGGACGCTGCCTCAGCATGGCCTGATGAGCGGTGCAGTGTCTGCGCCCAGGATCCGAACCGGCGAAACCCTGGCCTGCTGAAGCGGAGTGTGCGAACTTAACCACAAGGTGACAGCCCGGGCCCAGCATTTGACTTTTTAATGAGGGTTCCTCAAACTGGCATCTGTATTCTTAGGCAGCCATGCATTTTCAAGGTTGGAAAACATAGTGAGAATGACACACAGCAGACAATGTATAGAAGAGGCCCAGATACAGTGCTGTGGGCATCCAAGGGTACGGCAGGCTAGGGCAGCTATGGGGCTCAGGGCAGGGTTTCTGGTGCCCTATAGAGAAGCACTGGTGGCATTTGAATAGGTCTTGCAGGATGGTGGGGTGGGCCCTGGGGATAATCTCCAGGTTCTTCTCTGTGTAGACGTACATAACCAGATTTCTCGTGTCTAGGGCTTCCCTGGGCAGAAAGAGCTTTACCTTCCATCTCTGCAAATCTAGAATCAGTTTTTGCATTTTTTGCATCACAGTCTTGTCCTTCACCTTCACGTATATGCTGCTGGTTCTCACATTTGAAGAGAAGACCAGGGAGTGTAAGCTCCCCGCCTTTGTAGCCAAGTCAACCAGGGTTCAAATCTTGGCTTTGACATTTACCAGCTCTGGGCTCTTAGGCAAGTTGCTTGAGCTCTCGGAGCTCCAGTTTCCTCCTCTGAAGAGGGAATCCTAATTCTCTCACGGGGTGTTTAAAGAATTAGAACTAGCCAGTGAAGCCTAGGTTTTCTTTGTGGGAAGATTTTTCACTTCTGATTCAATTTCTTTAATGGTTGTAGAATTATTCAGATTTCCTATTTCAAGTTGAGTCAGTATTAGTAAGTTATATATTTTGAGCAATGTGTCTATTTCACATATATCTTTCATTTTATTGGTACAAAGTTATTCATAATATCCTCATATTTTCTTTCCAATGCCTGAAGCATCCATAGCAATATCCTTCTTTTCATTCCCAACATTGTTTATTTTTGTCTTCTTTCGACTTCTTCTCCATCAGTATCATCAGAGCTTTATCAGTTTTTACAAAATCTGTTTCTGGCGTGGCTGATCCTCCCTGTTGCATGTTTAGTTTCTATTTCTTCAGTTTCTATTCTTCATCTTGCTACTTCCCTCCTTCTACATTCTATATATATATATATATATTTTTTTTTTTTTTTTGAGCAAGATTAGCCCTGAGCTAACATCGGCTGCCAATGCTCCTCTTTTTTTGCTGAAGAAGACTGGCCCTGAGCTAACATCCATGCCCATCTTCCTCTACTTTATTTGTAGAACACCTGCCATAGCATGGCTTGCCAAGCAGTGCCGTGTCTGCACCCGGGGATCCGAACCGGCGAACCCCAGACTGCCAAAGTGGAATGTATGAACTTAACCCCTGCACCACCGGGCCAGCCCCTTCCTTCTACATTCTTTGAGTTTATTTTGCTATGTTTTTTTTCTAACTTATTAAGATAGATCCTAGCTCGTTAATTTTCAATCTTTTTTCTTTTCTAAGATGTCCGTTCAAGGCTCTACATTTCCTTTGGAGACTTAAATTTAAAAGATATATGTAGGGGCCGGCCCCATGGCTGAGTGGTAAATATATTATCATCATCATTATTATCTAGTGTCAGATGTGATGAGACTCCATGGCACAGTTTCCAGCTCTCTTGCTCTCTAATGTGACACATGTCCCCTGAGTGATCACCAGTACACACTCTGAGGACTTATTCTGGACCACAGATCTCCTCCTTTTTTGGGTTTTGAGGAGGCTTCCTCTGAAGGTTTAGGCAGGGCACAGACAGGGTCACGTGCCTTTGGCCCTGTCTTCCTCAGGGAACTCAGGCCTTGTTTCCTAGATGGGCTGGCAAGGTCAGGCCCGTGAGTAGTGCGAGTTCTAACCTGCAGGCCTGTGACATATTATATTTTCTAAAAATGGCCACAATAATATCTCCCATCCCATACGCTCTTCTAGAACCTTGTTGTTCCCCATCGAGAAGAGGAATATACTTCCCCTCTCCTTGAGTCTGGTAGGTTTGTGGCTTCCTTATTGAGTATAAACTGTAGACCAAAAGGCTGCAGCAGATGTGGTGCTGAGAAACTTCTGAAGCTTGGTCATAAAAGACAATGTAGCTTCCACTTAGCCAAAAAAACTCATGATTAGAGCCCTGAGTCTCCACACAGGAAGTCAGGCTACCCTGCGGCCGCCATCTTGTGAAGAAGCCAAACCACCTAGAGAGGCCATGTGCAGGCACTCTGGCCTTCAATCCTAATTTTCAAGTCTACCCAGCCCAGGCACCAGACATGTGAGTGAATGAACCTTCAGTGATTCCAGCCCCCAGCTGTTGAGAGACCCACATCCTTCCAATCTTACCAGCTGAGGCCCCAGACATTGTGGAACAGAGACAAGCCATTCCCCACTGTGCTCATCCAAATTCTTGATCTAGAGAGTCATGAGCATAAAAAACGATTGTTTTTAAGCTCTAAGCTTTCAGATATTTTGCTACGTAGCAATAGATAACTGGAACAATGCTCATTATCTTGTCTGGTACCCAATGCCTTCACCAGACTCCTTCAACCTCTACCATACTCCATATACTCTGGATTTCCCACCTAGGCCCAAGCAGAACATGCAGAGGCAGAGCACAGCAAAGGGTCTTATGTGTGAGTCCTGGAGCAAACTGGAAATGGAGATTCTTTGATCCTATCTATTATATAGACTGAGCTCTCCTGAGACCCTTGATTTCCAAACTTTTCAAGTGCTAAGACCTCAGTTATCTCATCAAAAAGGCTGGGTGTCCCCCACATGATGTTGGTTGTACTTTCAGTATAGCTTCATATATAGCTAACATTTATTAAGACCTTACTAAGAGCCAGGCACTGTGCTAAGTATTTTATATGCAGTATCTCCATGAATCCTCATAACAAACCTATGACTGTTGTTATTCCCATTTTACAGATGTGAAGAGAGGTGATCAAATTGCCCCTGCAGCCTGTTCTGCATGTCAAATGCAGAGCACATGAGGGAGGGCCTATAGAACGATATCCAAATCCTTACCCTCTTGTCCTGGAGAGTGTTGTCATCCAGCTTCACGTTTGCCCTTCTACACTGCCCCCCAAGACCTGAGATCCTGAAAAGCAGTGTAGATTCCGTACACTCCTTTTATAGCTGGCTTCCTGTTAGGTTCTGCCAGTTGGAGCCACTGGCTGGAGACTGGAAGGCAGGAATAAGGAAGAGGCCATGTTCCTTTCTGCATTTTGTTGGCGCTGCTAGTAATGGCCATGTTGCTTGTTCTTGGGTTCCTACTCAGGTGGTTCAGTTCCTAATAGCAGCTTCATTGCTATGGCACAGCAATTTTCAGCTGTGGTTATCACTATTTCCCATTTTACTCTTCCAGCCTTAAGGATAGTGACTTCCTATAATTACTAATCTTTGGATAAGCTCATCTCCCTCTTTTTGCTCCTCCAGCTCTTCCAACGTGTTTGTTACCAACTTCTCAAATTTAAATTCCTTCCACCTGAAATATCTAGAGTGATTTCTGACTTTTTTTGATTGTCTATTAACTAATACACTTGCCTTTACAAAACTTTGTATAACATGACCTTTATTTAACTCTCCAACCTCAACTCCCATCATTCTCCCTCTTGCTCACTATCCTTCAGCCACACTTGTCTCTTTTCTGTTCGTCAAGTAATTACAGCCTTTTTCTGCCTTGGGGCCTTTGCACCTGTTTTTCCCAATGCTTAGAATGCTTTTCCCTCAGCACTTTGCAAAGCCGACTCCTTCCCGTGCCTCCAGTCTCAGCATAAATGTCAGCTTTGGAGAGCAGCCCTCAGTAACCCTACCCCACACCCAAGTACTTTTATCACATCACCCTTTTATTGTCTTCACAGCACTTATTACTAACTGACCTTATCTTGCTGATTTATTCCTTAACTTGTTTATTGTCTGCTTCCCAGACGAAAATGAAACTCTGAAAGAGCAGAGAGCTTGTCTGTCTTGTTTATTACTGTATCCAGTGCCTGGCACAGACTTGGTGCTTAATATATATTTGTGAGTGAATGAGTGATAGAACGAGTGATATGCAAGCCTCTCCTCAGGCCTGAGATGTGCCCTGCCACTTACTGAGATGTTTGCCTTTGGAGGCTATTCAAGGGAGAAATTTCCCTGCCTCCCTTGAAGAAGGACCGCCAAGGTTTTTACCTAGCCACAGGGCCCTGAGCTCTACTTGTGCCTTCAGGCAGGCCCCTCCTGAGCAGTAGGAAGCCTCCTTATAGCCCTGCCCGTCTGCTAGCATGTCCTAGTCAGCCTGTTTCTCTTCATGCTTCCAGCAAGCTGCAGGGCATTAATGATTAAAAGTGCAAACCTTCCCAGGGCCAGTATCAATTAGACCACACGCCCACCAGGTGGGCAGCTTATTAATTCCAATAAGCCAGGACCCACTCTCACCCAGCCTTTTCCATCTGTGTACTGAATTTGATAACTATCAACAAAACAAACAAGATTGTTATAAAATTAATTTTACTGATCATCACATTCTTATCACATATCAAGAAGCAGAAAATTTCTGTTACATAAACATTTAACCCAAATCATTGCTGTAATAATAAGCTGAATTCAAAAAGACAACGAAATTCGTACTGTAATGCATGCAACTGCAAAGAGCCATTATATTTTTCTTTTATGACATTATGTGCAGAATAAATTATGGGATCTTATTCTAAACTAAACAAAACAAAAACTCATTTTACTGCTGCAGCGGAAGAGAGAAGCCAGCAGGATGAAGACTGAGGCTTTCTTTGCAAGGATGGATGCTCCACTAGGTCATCTTGTCCATTCCCCTGCCTCTGGGAAGACCTCTTTTTTGGTTTTAACATCTCCTAGTTTGGAAGTATCCTCTGGATACCAGGCTGGCTGATGCAGGCAAAGGAAACAGACAGAAAAATCATAGACACCTTTGTAAGAACATTGTTGTTGTTAGTGCTGTCGAGTCAATTCCAACTCCTGGTGACCCTGTATAGCAGAGTGGAACCCCACCTGGTCTTTTTGCACCATCCTCTGCCCTTCCAGCACATATCAGACAATGATCCACTGCTATGCACAGGGTTTTTAGGACAGATTTTTCAGAAGTATGTGGCCACGTCCTTCTTCCTAGTCTGTCTTAATCTGGAAGCTCCACTGAAACTGTCCGCTATGAGGATCTTGCTGATATTTGAAATACCAGTGGCATAGCTTTCAGCATCCCAGCAACACACAACCACCACAATATGACAACTGACACACAGGCGATATGGTTTCCTGAACAAGAAATGAACCTTGGTCACGGCAGTGAGAGCACCAAATCTTTAACCACTAGATCACCTATAAGAACATTAAGAGTACAATTTCCAACAAAACTTTGAAACAGGCATTGAGACAGGGAAGCTAACTCTGAGCTAGGACCTGGGTTTGACCAAGCCAAGAAGGGCAAAACAGTATAGCCAAAGGGCGGCCTGCTGTGGACTCATTTACCAGCAGATGCAAGCACTTACCCAGTCCAGAAATCCCCTGGCTTGGCAGCTGGATGGGGTGGGGATGAGAGCCTCTATGTGCTCTTGAGGGTAGCAGACATACTCATTTTGCCATCTCTCTATTATTGCGTCCTAATTTCTCTGCTTTAGGCTAACTAAACAATGCACCATTTCCTGTCTAAGCATCCTACTTTCCCTCTTCTATGGCTTTCACATGCTGTTCTGGTAGATTGCCCTGCCTTCTTCTATACCCACCTAGATCCTCTACTATTATTCAAGACCCAGCCCAAAAGCCACTTCCTCCAGAAGGCTTCTCTGATCTCCCCAACTGGAGAGTATTGCTCTCCCCTTTGAACTCCTAATGCCCTGGATCACAGGACTCTAATCACTTTACTATATATATACTATATATATATATATATATATAGTATATATATATTGTATATGTATTGATTATATTATTTTTCCCAATTATTCACTTCTTCTCTCTGTAAAAGTATTATAAATTGCCACGAATTGCCTGTGACTTTCAATACCTCCCTGTGGGAAAAGGATACTTCACTACCACATTGTTATCAGGTTTGGTCATGTGACTTGCTTTGGCCAATCAATAGAAGTGAATAGAGAATAGACGTGATCAGAGCAGAAACTTTAGGAGCCATCACCGTATCCTCTTTGCCCTCTGCCACAAGATCGGCATGCGTGAGAATGAAAATGACTCTTGGAGTAGAGACAAAGCTAACCTGAAGCTGATGAGCAAGAAATAAACATCTGCTGTTATAAACCAAAAAGATTTTGGGTTTGTTTGTTATCACAACATAACTTGGCAAAAGCTGACTAATACAGCTTTACTAAACTGCAAGCTCCTTCGTGGGGAAGATCAAGTCTAATTCATGATTTGTCTCTTCTTCTTCATGAACCCAGTACAGAGCCTCACTTAGAGACTCAGTAACTGTTTACTGAGTGAACAAATAAACAAATCCATCATTTACTAAGTCCTACTGTAATAGTCCCTCACCTTGCGTAGTGCTATGCAATCCACAGTGCAATTTCACAGACACTGTCTCATTGGGCCTGAAGACAATCCTGTGAGAACAGTGGCAGGTAGTGGACCACCATTGCTTTTTCTCTGTCTAACATCCCTGTTTTTAATGGGGAACTACCTCTCCTCAACTCCATGTGGTTCTGTTGGGGCTGCCAGTCATGACACCCCTCCAGTCACAGGGGTAAGCATGTGACCCAAGTCTGCTCGATTCCAGTATCTCATCCTATGGATGCAGTGATTGGCCCAGAGATAGGCATATGACCTAAATAGGGCCACTCAGAGCCCTTTCCTGAGAGGAAGTGCAGATCCAGAAGAAAGATGTCTAGAAAGAGTCCTAAGTATGAATGGGAAATCTCTGGAGGACACTTACTGTTCTGTATTCCTCCTATACTCCTCTAATATGTTCGCTTTCCCACTCTTCAAAACTTCTACTCCAGGGCCGTCCTGGTGGCGCAGCAGTTAAGTTCGCACGTTCTGTTTCTTGGCGGCCCGGGGTTAGCTGGTTTGGATCCCAGGTGCGGACATGGCACCACTTGGCACGCTATGCTGTGGTAGGCGTCCCACATATAAAGTGGAGGAAGATGGGCACAGATGTTAGCTCAGGGCCAGTCTTCCTCAGCAAAAAGAGGAGGATTGGCAGCAGTTAGCTCAGGGCTAATCTTCCTCAAAAAAAAAAACTTCTGGGGCCGGCCCGGTGGCGCAGCGGTTGAGTTCGCACGTTCCGCTTCTCGGCGGCCCGGGGTTCGCTGGTTCGGATCCCGGGTGCGGACATGGCACTGCTTGGCAGCCATGCTGTGGTAGGCGTCCCACGTATAAACTAGGGGAGGATGGGCACGGATGTTGGCTCGGAGCCAGGCTTCCTCAGCAAAAAGAGGAGGACTGGCAGTAGTTAGCTGAGGGCTAATCTTCCTCCAAAAAAAAAACAAAAACAAAAACAAAAACAAAACTTCTACTCCAGGGGCTGGCCCCGTGGCCGAGTGGTATAGTTCACGACTTCGCTTCAGCGGTCCAGGGTTTTGCCAGTTCGGATCCTGGGCGTGGACCTAGCACCACTGATCAGGCCATGCTGAGGCAGCATCCCACATAACACAACCAGAGGGACCTGCAACTAGAATATACAACTATGTACTGGGGGGCTTTGGGGAGAAGAAGAAGAAAAAAAAAGAGTGGCAACAGATGTTAGCTCAGATTCCAATCTTTAAAAAAAAAATAAAAAACTTCTACTCCATAACTTCTCATGTCTCTTCAAATATCTTTAACTCTCTTCACCCCTCACTTTCAGCTGATGACCTTGCCTCATTCCTAATGGATAAAAAAGAAGCAATTAAATAGATGCTCCCTCTTTTTCCCAGCACTAATTCTATTTACCTACCTGTACGTGGACTCGCGTGATCTACTTTATACAGTGGATTGCGTGCTTCTGCTCCCATTACTGGCCAACTGCTCCACTAGAAAATGCTCCACATCATACAAATATTCTCTCATTTATTCCAGCTTTAAAACATAAGTAAACAACCCTCCCGTTACCCCACATTCCCTTCTATTGTCACTCAATTTTTCTACTGTGCTTCAGAGCAAAACATCTTGAAAGAGTTGTATGTAGTTGCTGTCTCCACTTTCTCCCTCACAGTCTCTCTTCAGCCCCTCCAGGTGGGCTTCCATCCCTACCACTCCTGAAATTAATCGTTTTAGAATCACCAATGGTGAGCATGCTGCCAGGTTTGAAAGCTACTTCTCAACAAGGTTGACTGCTGCTTCCATCTTGAAACACAATCTCCACTTGGCTTCTAGGAAACCACACTCTGCTGGTTTTCTACCTCACTGAGCACTTCTCAGTCTCCTATGCTGACTCCTTCTCCTCTATGAACCACTAAATATTGGACAGTCTCAGATCTCAACCTAGCAGCTCTTCTTTTCTCTATCTACATCTAGTCCCATGGCTGGTTTTCTATGACTGCCAAATTAATATCTCCAAATTAAGTCTCTCCTCTGAACTTATGCCTTGTATACCTATCAGCCCACTTGACATCCCCTTGATGTCTGTTATAGGTTGAATTGTGTCTCCCAAAAAAATATGTTGAAATCCTAATCTCTTGTACCCGTGAATATGACCTTATTTGAAAAATAAGGTCTTTGTAGATATAATCAAGTTAAGATGAGGTCATAATGGGTTAGAGTGGGCCCTAAACCCAATATGACTGATGTCCTTGTAAGACGAGGAGAAGACATAGAGACAGAGAGACACACAGGGAGAGTGTCACGTGAAGATGGAGGCAGAGATTGGAGTGATATGTTTGCAAGCCAAGGATTGCTGGCAGCCACCAGCAGCTAGGAGAGAGACATGGAACAGATTCTTCCTCAGAGCACCCATAAGGAACCAACCCTACTAACACCTAGATTTTGGACTTCTGGCCTCCAGAACTATGAAAAGATAAACTTCTGTTGTTTCAAGCCACTCAGTTTGTGGTCATTTATTACAGCAGCCCTAGGAAACAAATATATCTAATTGGCATCTCAAATTTGACACTGCTAGAGCAGAACTCTTATCCCCTCCATGCCCAAACCTGCTCCTCCTCTAGCCTTTCCCCCAAACCCTCCTTCTACCCTGACCCCTGGTCTCCTTGCCATTCAGTAACCAGAGTGTTCTTTTAAAAACATATGGTAAAAAGAAAAAAAGAAAACATAAGTTAGATCATCTCCCTCTGTTGTTTAAAACCCTCCAAAGGCTTCCCACAATCCTTTGAATACCATAAAAATTCCATATCTTGGCCTTGAAGATCCTTCATGATCTGGTCCCTGCCTCCTTCTGGGTTGTCATCTCTTACTGTTCCCTTCCTGGCTCACTGCTCTCTACCCACACTGGCTTCCTTCTGTTCCTTGAACAAGTTCCTTTCTAAATTAGGGCCTCTGCCTGGAGCTGCCCCATCCACAGATCTGCCCATGACTGACCTTTCTTGACCTCCTGACATACAGAGCCCCATCTCTACCACACCACTAGGTTTTATTTTCTTCAGGGGAGAGCATGTCCCTGCATCCTGAGTCCCTGGTTCCAGTCCCTGTGGCCTTGGTTCTGAGTTTCCTTTGACCCTTTGCTTAGAATCCTCCCCAAGTTTGTGGGTCCATGCATTCAATTTTTGCTTAAGAATTTAGGGAGGTTTCTGACACTTTCAGTAGAAAAAGTCCCCCTTAATCAACATCTGAGCTCAGTCTCTGCAGAGGACCCCACCCCAAGGAAAGCTGCTCATAAGTCCAGGCCCTGCCTGTGCAAGAAGCCCTGCTGGCTTTAGATTAGCTTCTTCAAACTTCCATCCTGTGATGGGAAAAGGCCATTTCCAGCTTCCACCAAGGGTAGAAGGAGGCAGAGCTCACAATTTATCTCCCAAATGCCATCACTGCACCAAAAATCTATCACCGAGTTTCCCTGATCCCAGCCTCCTCACAGACTGAGGTGGAAGCAAAGCAAGACAGAGAATTCTGGAAGTGAGGAACCTCAGGGATGTGTTTGTGTGATCTGCAGTTTGCTACCATCTCCAAAGAGTTGAAAGGAGCTCTGCAGCTCTGCATGTCCTCTTGTGGATGATGATCACAGTTGCATTCACAGAGCATGTTCTGGATGCCAAGCTCTGCGCTAGGACTTTAATAATAATAACACATCAGGGCCGGTCCGGTGGCACAGCGGTTAAGTGCGCACGTTTCGCTTCAGCAGCCTGGGGTTTGCTGGTTCGGATCCGAGGTGCGGCCATGGCACTGCTTGGCAAGCCATGCTGTGGCAGGCATCCCACATATAAAGTAGAGGAAGATGGGCACAGATGTTAGCTCAGGGCCAGGCTTCCTCAGCAAAAAAGAGGAGGACTGGTAGTAGTTAGCTCAGGGCTAATCTTCCTCAAAAGAAAAAAAAAATCAACTGCTGCCTTTGGGGTGTACAGTCTCTGGACCAGGCACAGGGCTAGGCCCTCTAGAAGCATTATAGCATCTAGTTCTGACAACAGTTCTCTGAGGTAGGCATTAGCATCCCCACCTAGCAGATAAAGAAACAGGCTCAGTGAGCAGAAGGGGCTTGCCAGGTGGCTTCTGCTGCAAAGCTGTGATGATCCTTCTACACAGCATTGCCTCTGTCTAAACCTCCGGGCACCTGATTCCCAGCATAAGAAGAACCTGTGACTAAATGCAAGTACTGGGACCTACAACCCTCCTGTTCCAGCCAATTTGTCACCAGAGTGAGGACTGCCAGTTCAGGAATCTGACCCTCAAGGAAGGTGCCCCCAGCCCTTCTACAGCTATGCTTCAGAGGGAGATACCAAGGCCTGAGTCCCTTCCCTGGGAATTCCCTTGCAGAGACTGTCCTTGGAATAACATAAGGCAGAAATCTGAGCTAGACTGCCCAAGGGGCTGATTCCTGCTGGCCGCCACAGGCAATTTGCCTCTGCAGCAAGGGTGAGCTTGGAGCGAGCCCCAGCAGGAGCTTTTCCAGATAGAGACAGGCCTAGCAGATAGAAGCTGCCAGGATGGGACAAGTAGCATGTATAGAAGGCCCCTGAGGGTGGAAGTCTGGGAAAGGAATGCAATGGGCATCTGTCACTAAGAGAATGATTCCTAAGACCTCCTCCCAGGGAGGTCTTAGCATCGCAACCTGAGACTATGAATCAGGGATGAGGCCACATTAGTGAAAGGCCTGCAGCCTGATCCTCTATAGAAGATGGCGAGGCCATTGGTGTAGCATATGTCATAGCCTAGAACTCAGCAGAGATTTGGTGGGCAAGAGTCAGGAGCCTCAGGCTGTACACTGACACAATCCTGAGGGTCCCAGGAGAGTCAGACATGGCATGTTGGCAATCGCAGCCTTTAAAGACATGGATTCCAACCTCCTTATTGCACAGATGGAGAAACCACGACCCAGGTTGGAGAAGCGACCTGCTCAAGGTCCCCCAGCAAATGGATGATGGAGCTGGCACCTCCCACACTTCTGTAACTTCAGGTGAGAAAACCCCCATCTCTTCCTTGCTCTAGCACTGAAAACAGAACATGGAATATAGGAGGGGAACAGTATTTAGCCTCACTGCTTTGGGAGGGCCCATGTGTCTGAGCCCGTTCGACGCCCCTGAGTATCCCTGGAAAGCCAAATTGGCATCCTGAGTTGTGTGGATGGGGTTCATGCTTGTCCCAGTCACACACCAGCCCACCTCCAAACGCAGAAGGGTGTTCCCCAAGCCCCTGGGCACGGCGTCTTTGCATGTGATTTTCCTCTGATGATATCTTGTTTTGCCAACTAAATTAAGACTATGACAGAGAACAGAGACTACCTCTAGCAGTTTAGTTCAATTAAGATTTCACATCAACAAATTAAAATGCATCCTTACCGTCTGCAAAGTAAATCTGCCTGCATTTAGGAGGAGGCTCTGGCATTTGCTGATCAGGCACCTAGCCTATGTGAGCTGAATGTCAAAGAGGACCCACCCCTTCTGGGACTGGTTTGGGGGTTCAAGGTCGGAGTTTATCTCCAAAGACTTACAGCTTCTGGGCCAGGGCTTCCCAGTTATGGTGGTGAGGACTAGGCTGAACCTTCGATGGAGTTTTCACTGGTCCTCTGTAAAATGACAAAAATGAGAAGAATGTAGTCACGTTTCCCATAAAACTAAGTCAATTCAAACTAAGGGATTGTCGGCAAATCCCTTTTGAGTGCCTAATTTGTCAGTCACTCTTCAATGGACTGAGGATACAGCAATGAACAAATAGACAAAAATCCTGGCTCTCCTGGAGCTTTTTTTTTCTTGTGGGGGAGAGACAGACAATAAACAAGACAAGTAAGTGAAATGTGCAATAAGTTAGAGAGTGATAAGAGCTATGGAGAGAAATAAAGCTGGGAATGTGGAGGGCAGAGGGATTTGTGATTTTAAATAGGGCCGTTGGGAAAGCTTCCATGAGAAGGTGACAACTGAGTCAAGACTGCAAGACCGAAAAAGGTGAGGGAGTGAGCCATGCAGATTTGGGGATGGGGGAGGCAGTACCCTGAGCAGAGGGATGCCGAGCACAAAGACTAATGCAGGATTGTGGGTGGTGTGTGGCTGGAGCTGTGTGAGCAGGAGGGAGAGGAGGAGGAGGAGGGGAGGTTGAAGGAACAGGACTGTAGGCCTCTAGGCCATTGCAGTGACTTTGGATCATTGAGTGAATAGGAAGCCAGCCCAGGGTTGGATAAGAGAAGAGGCAAGCTCTGTCTTAGATTTTAACAGGATGGCTGTGGTTGCTGTGTGGAGCACAGAGAGAAGGGAGGCAAAGTTGGGAGCAGAGAGCCCAGTCAGGAGACTATTGTGGGTTTTTTTTTTTTGTAGGAAGACTGGCCCTGAGCTAACATCCATGCCCATCTTCCTTTACTTTATATGTGGGACGCCCACCATAGCATGGATTGCCAAGCAGTGCCATGTCCATACCCGGAATCCAAACCAGTGAACCCCAGGGTGCCGAAGCAGAATGTGCAAACTTAACTGCTGCACCACCAGGCCGGCCCCAGGAGACTATTGTGGTAACTGAAGTGGGGTACAGTGGTGGCCAGAGCCATAGCCGAGGAGCTGAAGGAGACATTGGCTCAAAATGTTTGAAATCAGTAACATCCTATAAAATTCAGTATGTAAAGTTAGCACCCTCTTGAGATCTTTGCCAAAAGGCAATTCCATGGCTGCTTAGCCATGGGAAATCGTGACAGGGCCCTTAAGTCCTTAAGAGCAGCACATAGACCACCCACAATGTGGTGCTCCAAAAAGTGGACCTTTTCCTCTGTAAAATGAGATGGATAATCTTTTCTTTCTAGAGAAGGCAGGTAAAGGGTGTTTTCCCCATTGAAAATTAGAACACAGAACCTGAGAGAATGCAGGCCCCATGAGGACAGTTACTGTGCTCACATGCTGTTCTCACGTGTTCCCCAATAGCTACTTCAAGGCCCAGGACATGGTTATCCCCAAAATAATTGTTGAACAAATAAATGAGTATCCTTTCTCCCATGTTTTAGGTAGGAATTTGAACAGTTTTAATAACAAACTCTGAACATGTATATCGTTTTTTTTTTAACTCAGAGAGCTGTTCTGTGGGGATTTTGTTTTTGTTTTTGTTTATTTTCTTTGAACATAAAGAGCTATCACGGGGCTGGCCCGGTGGCACAGTGGTTAAGTTTGCGCGTTCCACTTCTTGGCGGCCAGGGGTTCGCAGGTTCGGATCCCTGGTGCGGACATGGCACCACTTGGCACATCATGCTGTGGTAGGCATCCCACGTATAAAGTAGAGGAAGATGGGCACAACGTTAGCTCAGGGCGAGGCTTCCTCAGCAAAAAAGAGCAGGACTGGCAGTAGTTAGCTCAGGGCTAATCTTCCTCAAAAAAAAAAAAAGTTATCATTACACAGGATTTGGGTAGCTTGAGGGTTGTTTCTGCATCTCTCCCTTCTTCTTCTTTCCTCTGTTTCCTTTCTCCTTCTTCCTCTGTAATCTTAGTTGACCATCATGTAAAACTGAATAGAGTTTTCTGCTTCCTATGTCTACTATTTAAAGTGGATAAGTAGAATGTTTTTGATGTCTCTCTCTTAGAAAAACTCAACGACTAAATTAAATTCTTTTTTACTTATGTAACTCTCAATTGATTTTTCTCTCCCTGTATGTCAGAATCCCCACTCTCTGAGCCTAAGAAGCTAATATCACTTCCTGGTGAGAAGGAAAACACACCCAACATGGAACTCTGGACTTCCCACCATTTCAAACTTCTCCTCTATTTAACTTGCTTGGTAATTTGCATAGATCTACATATGTTATGCAATCAGCTTGCTCTCCTTTTACATTTAAGCCTAAAATAATTTTGCTTTTATGATGTTTTTCTTCTCTACTGCCTTCTTTATTTCTCACTGGTCCTGAGATTTAGATTTTTGTAAAAGGAATTGATGAAAGGCCAAAGATCCAGACACGTTACCTAAACAGCCATGGGGGAGAGGGAGAGTGGGGAGCAGCAGGGTGAGATTGTCTCTGGGATTCATTTATTTGCTCATGAGATGTCTTTTGAGCACCTACTATGTGCTAGGCTCTGTGCTAGGTGCTAAGAATACAGGAGTGAGGGGCTGGCCTGGTGGCGTGGTGGTTAAGTTCATGTGCTTCTGCTTTGGCGGCCTGGTGTTTATGGGTTCGGATCCCAGGCATAGACCTACACACTGCTCATCAAGCCACACTGTGGCAGGGTCCCACCTATAAAACAGAGGAAGATTGCCACAGATGTTAGCTCAGGGACAATCTTCCTCAAGCAAACAGAGGGAGATTGGCAACAAATGTTAGCTTAGGGCCAATCTTCCTCAAAAAAAAAAAAAAAAAGAATACAGGAGTGAGCAAGCTAGGCACAGTTTTTATTCACATGGAGCTTACGCTCTGAGGAAAATAGACAATAAACAAGTAAACACATAAATAAAAACATGATTTCTGATACTAATAAGTGCTAAAATGAAAACACAGTGACTGGAAAACTGGTTTAAATTAGGTAGTTCATAGAAAGTCTCTCTGGAATAGTGACATTTGAGCTGAGGCCTGAATGATAAGAAGGAGACAATCATGTGTACATCTGGTGGAAAAGTGTCCCAGACAGCAGGCATAGCCCTGAAATGAGAGCAAGCTTGGAGGGTTTGAGGAACAGAAAGGAGGTGTATCATTTAGAATGCTTTCAGTAGAAAGAAAGAGAAGTTGCCCCAATTCAAAATAGAGCAAAAAGAAGGAATTTTATTACCTCACATAAAGACGCCTAGGGGCAGAGAAGGTAGGGTTCTAAGGCTGGTTAGTTTAGCAAATCAACATGATCTAGGCCCAGACTATTTCCTTCTTTCTGCTCAGCCATCGTCTTGAGTTGACTTCCTTCCATATGCCAAGATGGCTGCCAAAGCTCCAACATCATACAATTTCCGCATCCTCAGTGTCTAGAGGCAGAGAGGAAGAGATTAAACCCTTCCCTTTTCAGAACAAGGAAACTCTTCCCTTGACCTGCACAGATTTCCATTCACATCTCATAACATAGCAAAATTTCGCCACATGCCCATTCCTAAACTGGTCATTAGCAAGGGGAACAAATGACTTAGATTGGTTTAGAGTTGGGCAGGGGAGGGGCCTAGCTTCTACTAAACTTCACTGAAGAACCAGTGCTCTCAATTTCTGACAAAAACCAGGCTTCTGTGAGCAAGGAAGAAGTGGAGAACGGCTGGCTATAAGTTGGTACTCAAGAATATCAGCCACAGGAGGCCAGCATGGCTGAAGCACTGATCTAAGAGGAGGTTATGGAGATGGAATTGAGGGAATGAAGAGCTTGTTTTAAGTTCTTCAAATGTAACCTTTCGGAACTGCATAAGTCCCTATAGTCTTTACTCCATTTTGCACCAGTTACTCTCTCCAGCGCTGTCTCCCCGCATCGATCCCCCACAAGGAGTCATCCTACCTCTGGGTGTGGAGTTACAGAAAGACTGCCCAGCTCAGGTGTCAGACACTGACTCTAAAACTAGATTATGACACTGGGAAGTCACTTTCCTTCCTTAAGTCTTGGTTTCATTATCCATAGAAATGACACAGTAACATTTGTCCTGATAGCCCTTCAGGGAGGTTGTAAGGATCAAATGAGAGAGTATCTGCATGTCCTTTGAAAACTATACAGTGCTAAGTTATTATTATTGCTACTGCTGTCATTCGTCTTCTGTGAGAAACAAAGGGGTTTAAATTTTGAGTAGTCACATTCTCCAGCTCCTTGGATAGGGACAGCTATCGTTTTGGAAATCTGCGTGCTCTGAGGGGGTAAGGAGGGCTGCCTTAAGCACCCTTTTGCCCTTCCTTCCCCAAGACTTTTCCTCAGCATCCCCCAGCCCCCGAGCAGCCTTCTGTGCTTCACATTAGAGATGTCCTTAGAAACAGGCTGGGCTGATGTTCAATAAAATGTAAGCCAAAGCCAGCTGAGTTATTATCCTTTTTTCTTGATA